TAGACAGTGCCACATAAGGGAAACTATCCTGCTTTTTTAAGCCAAACAACACAAAATTTCTAAAATAGAAGTTATCTATAGAAGAATGATCAAATCTTTTAGGATCCCGAATGTAACACAGAACCATAAATCTTTCTCCCAAATTTGCCTATTACAGTAGACAAAAGTTTTTATTACACTAATTTAGCCAAAACGAAGAACTTGTATTCTTTAACATGGAACACTGGATTAATAAGGTGTTAATTAACATGGAGATACTTGGTTATGTTTTTTATATTAATCGAGAAGGAATCCTGTGTTGTCAGTATGTTCTATAGCAGAGGATTCCAGTAATAATTCCAATGTTGTATTTTTTTCCAAACATTGAATCATTATTCTGTGCATTCATTGCAATGGCCACAGTAAAGTAGATTACAAAAATAAACATTCAGTATTTCACAGACCAAAAAAAAAGCTAACTGTATGGAGGATCATCTAATGCAGATTTGCCATGGGTCATCTGACCATTGGTTCATCAAAGACTGTCGAGTTTATGAACACAGTTGGGACTATGTCCTGGGAAGTGCTTTGAAGCTCATGGTGGACAGTTGTCTGAGCTTAAATCCTTGTTGTGAAACTGTGGCTGCTGTGGCTAGTATGGTCCTTTCACGTACAACAGAACAATGCTGAGAAGGAGTAAGAAGGATGTGCCTTTGTGGATGACACTAGTGAGGTTATTATTGGCGTAGTGGGTAAAATCCTGGCTCCATAGAAGTCAAATCCAGTTCTGTCACTGTCTCCAGCAGAACTGGGATTTTGTTAGCTGTATTTGATACCTCTGCCTACATTTTTAAAAAGAACAATGAAAGGACTAGAAATTATGGTGAATACTTTGTAAGACAGACTGAAGAGACCCAGTCCATGCGAGTTACCAAATACAAGGTACATACTAGTACCTTCTTAGTAAAAGCCTAGCATATTTTAGTAGCAATAAAAGGCTAGTATCAATAGCTAGAAAATGGGGCTGTTCAAATTCAAACTAGATATAAAGTATAACCTTTTGGCAGAGAGCAGTTATTCACTGGAATAACTGAAAAAGGGATGCAATGTCATCCAGAAGAGACAGACTGTGAATATTTAGAAGAGATCTATGACCTATGTTAAGGAGAGCAGCCTAAACCCTGTACTTGTCCCACCTGACTTTCGGGACCTAAATGAGACATGACCGGCCTGATGGGTGCATCGGTTCCCCTCCTAGCTGGTGCTAATAAGGGACAGACCAACTTTCTGAGGTGCCCGTGCCTCTTCGCTGACTCTGGAGGAAGCACAAGCGCAATGCTGAAGCTGGCTGAGAATGATCTGTGCCTAGACAGTATTTGAATTCTCCCTTCCTTTAAAAGCAGCATAATTAGAGTCATTCGAAGCCCATGTCTCTGGCCAGCATTGGCTGCGTTAATCTCAATTGACAGCATACTGGGGTTGTGGGATGTCCTCCATTTGACATGGACAGATCTTTCCTGACCTGATATTTCCGTGATGCGTTTTTTTCAAATGTCTTCGTTTGCAGTGAGTGAGTGCTAGTAGTCATATTGGGGGCAGTGCAAGCAGGAGGAAGCAAAGACCTCTTAGCACTGTGTTTGTAATTTGAAATGCCTTAAGTAACTCTATTTTAAACCCCTGTAACAGATTAGCAGAAAAAAAAAAGATGATACATTAATGTATTGCTCTAATTGTACATCTGAAATGCATGCAGCTGGCTATGCGGCTTCGGGCTTAATGTCCGCCATCATCATCGTTTACCAATTGACTTACATATCCTGCAGCAGCACCCAGGGGCCAGGCAGTCTCTGAGTGTGCAAGGCAGGGAGGAAGCCGCTGCCAGGATGAGGGGGCCGTCAGCTCTCAAGCGCAGGCGGGAGGGATGTGGTGCTGCTTTGGGCCCACCTGCGGCTAAGATCTGCTTTGATATTTGGCACTTGTGCATTTTCAGAGCAGCTCCATAGTCACAGCAGCCCTTTTGGAAATACCTCCGTTCTTTTCCCTGAAACAAAGTGAGTTATTTGTATTTAAAGATCAGTCCCCAGAAAGCAAGAGGATTTCCTGATAGAAGACAAATAACGAAAACAAATCTTTGCCAGTTTTAGCTGGAGGGAATGCATCTCCATCACAGAGAAAATGCCTTCCCGCTAACCGACCGTGTGCCTTTCCCCAGGCTGGCTCGCAAAAAGCTCGTCTGTTAACTGAGAGATGCTTACATATGAAATCTGGCTGAAAAAAAATGTGTTTTTAGTGATCTTACTAGAAAATTTGTTGGTAATATTTTGTTTGTGCTCTTGAGAAACAGTCTGTGCTACTGGTGGATAGAAAGTGACAGAAAGAAAATTGTGGTGGCTGTTTGCACTTTCAGAATTTTTTCTCACTCTGAAGAAATACTGTTTTGTTAGCCTGTACCTTCGAGACAGAAGGTAAAGGAAATAAATATACGTCAAGGAAAGCGATGTTTGAGTTGTGATCCTGAGCCGGTCAGAGCTCTGGGGTAGATTTGTTGCCACCTTTAAAACAAGCACATCAATACCAAAAGGGCTTTGAATTGTTAAAGCTAAGTCTTGCCTTTTTTATTTTAAGCACAAACTGTAATATAGATCTGCTAAAGCAGAGACAATCAGTTTGAGACTGACTAAAATAAAAAGGATTGGTGGACCACTCACTGCCCCTTCCCTCTCTCCGTGGCCTGCACCATGGACCCTTTTCCAGTCGTGCTTCCCGTCCAGCAACGGCTGCTGCCAGGTGGCCAGGAAGAGCAGCACAGTCTTGCCCTGCCTTCCCTGCTCTGCGCTCCAGCAATTCGTACTCGTTTATTCGCAGCAAAGGCACCACGTCCGCTTCCCTCCAGCGGGTCCCCCCGTGCCAGAGGCAGGACAGAGCGAATGAGCGGCCTTCTTTCTTGCTGCACAGGTTTTTTTACTGAAAAAAAACCACACAGAAACAGTGAATAAACACATCTTTGCCATCTGGACACTTAGTTATATTTAAAAAAAAAAACATAAAAGATGATTGACATACAGACCTAGTGATAATAACTGTGGGTCACATACTAAACTTCTTATTGATTTCTTGTAATCACCACAGAGTTTTATAGGGTATATACGGAGAAGTAGCTGATAACGGCAGTTTTAGATACTACCTTCGTCCTGAGTGTAGTGAGGGGAAAAAGAAAAGGATATTTCATCTGTTTTCCTAATCTTTATGAGCAGCTCACACGTTAGAAGCAAAATTTTGCTAGATACCCCCTTCCTCACTTCCTTCATTATTGCCATCTCAAATATTAAAATGTTTGGTGCACGGGTTGACAGATGTAGTGAGAGAGTAGAAAGTAGTGCAGAAACTATCCCTTCCTATCTTTCTTCAGTTCCATGAGAATTTCCTCACTGTGCTTATTTTTAAAGCCTTCACTGTTGGTAGCACAGAGCGTTGCCATTTGATGATTAAGGGAGAAGCAGGAGCTGACCTGCTTCGGCTTCCTTTGGAGCCCATCAGTGCCCTTTCCTAAGTGTCCAAAGAGTTAACGAGACATGCCCTGCCCAGCAAAGAGGTTTAGAGTTCAGTTTTCACACTGAATATGTAAATTCTGTCATGCTCAGTTTTGGGGACAAAAAAGAGCAACAAGAAACAAACAAACAAACAAACCCATAATGCATATATGTAATTTAATAGATTGTAAATTATTTTTTCTCTGGACAGAAAGACAGAACACAGAAGTTGTTTAAAAGTGTTGCTTTACGATGCTTTGAGGATGAGATCTGTAATAACACAGTTCTGTGGCGCTGAAATGAAACTCTAACACTATGTTCTGTTTCATGAATTAATTTAATTAGTTACTGTTTGTTGTAGAGATGGAACTAAGCCAAGAGCCCTGAATCCCATCTCCACCAAAACGTGTGTATGTGCGGTGTAAAGAAACCGAATCTGCGCTCAGCCGCAGCTGTTCTGAGTAGGGCTGAGCTGGACGCAAGGCTGGGAGGACCTGCTCGTAGCAGGTGCTAGGAATACGAGCCCAGATGTGCTCCCAGGCACTGCAGATAGAGCATGCAGTGGACTTAATCTGCACTTTTAATTAGAGTCTCTTTGAGCCCCTAATTAGAAACCCAGGCTGCTGAGAGTACTGCAGGTGCTTTGAATTTCTAGAGTGTGTATTACATTATTGTGAAGGGTGCCACACTACTCAAGGAATATCTGAGGGAGTGGATTTAGGCCCAGTATGGACAGAAATCTCCCCTTTAGCTTGTTGGAGGTGATAGAGGACAACGGCCCATCCTTAGCCCCATACGAAGTCGGGAGAGCAGGGCTCCCAAAGCCACAGGTGGCAAGGAGCCAAAAGGAGCTGCAGGATATTGGAACTGGTTTATAATCCTCTGTATTTGAATACACATGTATGCAGCTGTCTCTTAGTGGAACATGGTTGTTCTTTGCAGGCCTCCAGCCATAGTCTTTTTTGACATCTGTGGATTTAGCTAAGAAATGTCAAAGGGGAGGAGATGTCAGCACGAGCTCAGGAATGATTTGTACAAGGCAAGGAGAGAAATCCATAAACGTCCCCTGATGAGGCTGGAGTTTTATTATTAATGGCTTATCTATACTGTGTTGCTTTAAATGCATCAGTAGAGACTCTTGGTTTAATAAAGACATTATTATATCAATATAAAAATGCTCAGACCCATGATGTAGGGTTCCACCCTGACCTAGCTATTTGTGGCTATTTCCAGTTGTAAATCTCTGTGGTTTAAAAACAGTAGCAATCACTCATCTAACTGAGACAGTTAAAACTGCATAACTTCTATAGACAGAGATTTGTACCACACGAGGAATCTGGATGTGAGCAAAGCTGTGGCTGAAACACTATCTAAAGTGTTTTAAAGCATTCAAACCTGCGGATGAACCAGGGAGTGCTGCTGACTTTAACTTTGTTTTAGTTAGCATAATTCATGACATCAGTGTAATGTGGTCTGTTCCTTTTCTCGTAGGTTCACTGGAGTAACTGGCTTTCATTCAGAGGGAACCTGACAGATCTATTTTGCTTTCATTGAACCTCTCTTCCGCATGTCATAAAGATTTCCTGGATCCAGAAGCTGCACCGAAAACAGCTGAGCAGCACAGAAATGTGACTCTGACAAGATACTCCAAGCCTGTTGACAAGGAGTTTTCTACTGATCAGTTTGTAATTTAAACGTGTAATTTAAACGTGAAGCATGAATAATAGTTAACCTGGTAGTGGGAAAAAAAGCCTTCTCATTAATTAGTACTGCCAAAAAAAGCAGTCACCTGAAGGTTCAAAATGAGTGCTCCATTAATTCCAAACAAGTCATGTTACACTCAGCTTCAAGACAACCGCAGAGAGATAAAAAATAATAATGAAAGCATAGCAAATGTGGGGGATACCAATGCCAACCAAATTGTGACAAAAGTTAGGACCACTGAAGGTGATGCCAAGAAATGTAGTTTGACAGATGACAGTGGGAATATACATCCTGGGGGATCAGAAAAAGTTACTAATCTGAGTACAGAGCAGAATAAACTTCTGGCCTTTAAAGAGTCCCGGACCTGTGACACCAGCGTGCAGGAAAGTAAGCTCTCCCCTACCTCATACAGGGAAATGGAGAAAGATAGGACCAATGAAGCTAAGGATATATCGAGGCATATCAGGATCAGCCGAGGACAAAGTCTGTCCAATTTGAAAAGCAGCACAAATGATGCCAACTTGGGAGTTATTTCAAAAGGTAATATTGACTTTACCCAGAATTTTTCTAAGGGTAAAATGGCCAGGACTGTGGAGATGGAGAGAATAAAAAGGCTTTCTTTGGGAAGAGCGAGTAAGTTTTCTGCTCAAACGGAAACATTTGCAAAAGAATGTGTTGGCCGTGTGTCATGTAAGCGTTTGCTTTCTGCATCGTTGGATTCCATCGACAGGTCACACCATTTGATTGGAAGTATGGAGAAATCACAAAAAACACCCACAGAACATTTTCTTGGGATGGTGTTTCATCCACTTGACAATACCTCAGAGGAAAATATTGTGTTTTATTCTCAACCATCTACCTCAGGGAACAAGAAAATATCTAAACCAGAAATCCAAATGGATGTGCAAAGCGTACCAAATGTTAACACTGAAAGCACACAGCAAACTTCTCATGCTGGTCTACATTCAGCTATTAAGCCCAAGGAGATTGCTAGTAAATCAGAAGCACAATTAGGTCAGGGTGATAAGAGTAAAAAACCGGAGGTGAAGACTGTACCATCTCTTCAATCTAAAAACATATGTCAACAAAAAATTGAGAGAATTATGCTGGTAGAATTTCTGGGATGTCAAAAAGAGGAAAGTACAATAACGCAAGAAAAGAAAGGGTCTGGATCTGACACATCAAAATGTCAAGTGTCTCATTTTCAAGACATCTGTAATAAAGTAGAGGATCCATTGTCAAGCCAGGTGGTCACCCACCCCGGTGACAAATTGCTAAGTGATAACAACGCCATCCATGTGGCAGGAGGAGGAGGCAATGAGAGTGATAGCAGGGTAACTATTAGTGAGGAATATTTCGCTGACAAAAAAGTGGAATCAGTATTCCCTCTCACTTGTGACAGCAAATCCAGTGGTGAAGATACACTTAGAAAAAATGAAAATGTACGTGAAGTTGACACAGGTTGCACTGAAACCATTGGTGAGCAAGTATCTCTTATACATGACATTAATCTACATGACAGCAAACCCTTGAAAGTTAATGAGACTAAACTGATACCAGTTAAAGGAAACAATGAAGATGCTGTGTCAGCTTCTGATCTCTCAGATCAGCCCAGAGAGCTGGGCACAGAAACGATGTCAAATGAACAGCATAGCAACGAAGACAGTGATGTGGAAACCTCGAGCTTTTCAGTTCAGAGCAAAAAGACAGCTATTGCAAAGAAACACCTTTCATACGAAGCACCAGAGAGTTATAAGAGTCCAGCGAAGGCTGATGCCTTTCTTTGTGTTCCAACTCCCTTGCGCCCAGTGGCAACTCTGAATGTTAATAATCAGCCCGCGCTATCAAACAGTAATCTGAAGGACCTTTATGCACTTCATGTTGACAAACTGTCACCCTCCTCAGTCCTACCTCCCATAGACAGCACGCAGTTGTTAAGCATATCCCCTAAAGTGCCTATCAAGACTGCTTGCAGCAGTGCAATCCCAAAACCTATCCTGGTCCACTCCAAGGGCTCCCTTGTAGATAAGGCAGATGTGGACAGCGACTGCAGTGAAAAGCTGGAAGAAAGCATCGAGATGAAGCCTGCCATACCCAAGCCCAAACACGTGAGACCTAAAATCATCACTTACATTAGAAGAAACCCTCGTTCAATAGACCAGCTTGACCCTTCGTTTGCCTCTGCGGGGCTGTCATATGGCACTCCAGCATGTGGTATGCCCGTCTCTAAGGAAGAAAAGGCGTCAAACGGAGGTGATGTGAAGCCCCCCAGCATCCTGTATGACAAATTTAAACCTGACCTCCAGAAGCCAAGGATCTTCAGTTCTGGACTTGTGGTGTCAGGAATTAGGCCCCCTGGCCACCACTTTGGTCCAATGAGTGAAAAATTTCTGCAGGAGGTAAGGAGGTAACTTTGACAACCTCTTTTATATGCCAGGTGGTATTCATTTGCTTACTTGTTGCTGCCAGAAGTTAGTTCCCAGCCCTCGGGTAAGAAAGAGTCCTAAATCCAGGCAATGTGTGATCATTAGAAATAAACTTCCCTAACTGTTTCTGGCACTGAGCATGTTATGATGTCTGGTCTGGGACTTGACTGGAAGTTGTCATTGTGTTCCTGTAATATGTCCCAGCAAAAGAGTTACCTGCTAGTACTATAAATAGGGATGTTTAGAAAGCAAAAGACATGTAGTTTGAATTTATCCATGAATGGAACTATTTTTTCTTGAAGGAATAGCTTTGGGAAATTAACGTAATTTGCCCACAAACAGAGACTTTTCCTCCTTAATGGGAAACTTGGCACATATTTGCAGACAGAGCACTAGAGGACTCAATTAATTCCCTTCTGTTTAGCTCTGCAGAAAACCAGGGACTTCGAAAGCTCATGTTAGATAATATATATCATGCAGGAAAAGATTTTCTTTTCATTCCTTTTAAAGCAGTTTGTTATTTTGTCCAAAGCTTCAATGAGAAATCTCCTTTCCCCAGAAAATATTTCTGAGCACCAAAAGGTGAAGGAATTCCTTCTGGCCAATTATGGGTTCTGGTAGCTAATCCTCCGCCTTGATAATTTGGTCAGGAGTCTTGATTCCCAGCACATCCCTGCTGGAAGGTGAGAACAGTAGAGGAAGGATGACATTACCTGCTGGATGGAGAAAAGATGGGGGAGTTAGTTAGTTATAGTACGCTTGGTGCCCTTGGATCTGCCCTTGGTGATGTGATGTGCCCTTGCATCTGCTGCTTGGGACCCATGATAGCTCAACAACCAAGCCATCTATATACATACTGAAGATCACAGAATTGTATTTAATTTGAATGACTCTAAAAAAATATATGCTAGGGTTTTTTAATTGTGTCTCACGGTGTGTTATTGAGACTCTTTTGAAGCCTATCTCATTCCATGTACAGTACAAGGAACAGCATTAGAATAGCATATAAAGTTACAGTGTCAACAATCAAAAGCCAGCAAATATTCTAATTAAGATATTTTGTGTGAGTGTAGGTTGGCCCTTTTGGCATCTATGTTAAGGGGCACTCTAGTGATTAGTGAAATAATCATGGATTATAGTTTTCTGTAGAACACCATCTCATCCCAAACACAGAAAGGGCAGTGCTCACTGTCCTTCCTCCTCTGACTACAGTTTCCAGTTCCATCCCTTATATTTTGCATGTAGAGGAGAAATTATGTCATTGTGGGCTTGTTTATGGCAGCCTGCAGTGGATGGCAACTGAAATTAAAGCTAAAATAACGAAAACTGTGCAGCTGCTTGGCTGTTCAATGAGCAGTGTGACCCCTTAAAGGCCATAGGAGCCTGTAGCCTGTACAGCTGGGGTTCAAACAGTCAGGCACGATCGGCAGACAGAGGTGAGAGTGGAGACGAGCAATTTCTGTGCACTGTTGAGGATTGCTCTTAGCAAGAAAAGGAGTCAGATTGTGGCAGGTCTGCAGTGCGGTTTACTCTAGGCTAGGATTAGCCAAAAAATTACTCAAAGAGAACATTGATGGAGAAGGTCAAACTCCAGGTTGTATTATGAGTTTGCATTAACCCACTGATTCCTACTAGTCATTAGGAATTAGGAGTCATGGGAGCAGCAGCTGATACCTGGGGATGGTATGTGCTCTCTGTGCTGCCACCCTAAAAGCAGGTGCCTTAACCCCCTGATAATAAGGGGATGACAAAGGGGAGGATGGCTGAAGAGAAAGGAAAAAGACTGATCTGTGCAAGTGGACAGATCCTTAGAAGAGCAGCTGTGCACAGTACTGGTTAGTGGCAAATGACTGATGTATAAACAAAGGAAAACAAGTAGGATGGTTTGAGATAGATCAAAATCACATTGACAAATGCACAGTGCTGAAGACTCAGAACTTTTGGAGATGAGGAGATGCTGGGACAGGATGACTACTCAGCATTGCCGTTGTGGTGGAAAAGTTCCCACACTGCCCTGTTGAGCTCCTCCAATTGGGGCTTTAGAGGGCTTTGATTAACATTTTATAGCTCTCTATATAGTTATGATGAAGGATCTTAATAAGTGCTATCAATGAATCAGACCTGTAATCTCTAAGCACCCTTCAGCTAAATGGGAGGAACAATTAAATACATCTTAGGGAGCAAATAGCTGAAAAAAAAGGAAGGTGCTGTGCAAGGCAGCAAGGCCAAGGCAAGGCCTGAAGAATTAGCTGAGGAAGACTGAAGGCATGTCTCTGTGCAGGGGAGGGCCAGCCAGGCTCCTTGTGCTGGGTGTGCTACAGCCCGCACAGTGCAGTTCAGACAGACGTTCTAGCTCATGTCTGGAAGCAGTTCAGCTGCACTGTTAAAGGCTGTATATTCATGAAGGACTGAGAGCTTTAACTGTGGCATGTTCAGCTCCTTGGGAACTTTTCTTTGGAACCTTGACATGGTATGGCTGGAGATCTTTCATGCGTATCTTTGTCAAGAAAAAAGATAGAAAAACCCTACCCAAGGTGAAAAACAAGCTGAAAAAAAGCCTTTGTTGTCCACATGCTTCATCAGTCTCTATGTTCCTACTTACCCTCTGTGAGAAGTAACAGAGCAAACTGTGAGACTCAAAGGCTAATAACCTTTCTAGTGAACTACACAATGTGAGGACACAGCCTCCGAGGCTCACACAAAGTTGTCTGTATTGTTGAACTCTGAATATGCTGCCCAGCTCCATATTTGCCTGTGGCAGCGTACACCCCCCCGAGGTGACACCTGGCGTGGCTCAGGAGGCAGCAGGGGCCAGAGGCTGTTTCCAGGGGTCAGTGGGGATGAGACCAGCCTGTTCTAGAGAGTGAAAGACTTTACTCACATGGATATGCTCCGCACCGTACCAGAGAGTGGGTTTTGGCCCATTTTATTTACTGCTAAAGATGCTCCCAAGAGCCCTGGTTGCAGTCGGGGCTCCTTAAGGCGATCTGCTGATCCTCAACTCACCTGCCTGCATCCCCCAGGGCTGCACTTGTCACGTCCAGACTCCACCTCTGTGCGGTATATTTGGGGCAGTTCTCCTGCAAGGACCCTTTTTTGCTTCAGAGAGCATGGACTGATGCCTGTTGAAGCGGAAGGCCTGCTAAAAGGGGTAGGGAGAGTGGTTTTATATAGAGGCAAAAACAACGTTTTTTTTTTTCCCTCGTAATCTCATTATCTGAAAAGACTGAGCCAGTTTTGCTGACTCTTTTCCCAAATAAATGCCTGAAGCAGGCACTTGACAAGAAAAATTCTGCTTGAGGCGTTAGCATGTGACAATGTCATAAACACAGTAAGAGGAAGGCAAGCGGTGAGCAGCCTTACCTGTTGGCAGTGTTGCCAGTTCTGCTTGGAATCACCCAGGCTGTGGAAGTTCCTGTACCTTTCACAGATTTGCTCTTTCACAGACCCAGCACTTTCTAACACATACATTAAATGGAGCGTGTGGGAAATGTACACAGTCGCACGCAAAAAATTGTGAACCGAAGGGAGTCCTTATTTTTAGTTAAGAGGCTTCAAGAGCTCTTTTCTTACAGGTCCCTCATACAAACATCTAGTGCAGAATGCTAACAGGACTCATATTAGTCCAAATCTTTCTAAACAGCTTTGAAACGGCCTGGTAATCTATAAACACACATGATTCTGCTGAAGCCAGCTGAATTACACGCTTCATGAACTTGCTGATAAACACAAAATAGTAAAAACGATTATGTCTTCATAGCAAGCTTATGTTTTCCTGCAAATTGAGCTCTTTAAAAAAGACATCAATTTCCTGAAAAATGGTTGGGCAAATCCTTCTCAATTCCCTCCGTCTGAGGTGTTTTAGGCTTACGATTGTTTTTGTGTGCATGTTTGTGGTCCTTCTGTGTTACTTGTAGCACAGTGTCAATAAAAGCGAGGTGAATGAAGGTTTGGCTAGGCTAACCCAGTTTATCAAACATGCATGATTTCTCTATTTAAAAATTTTCTGTATTCCTTATACTGAAAAACCTGGTATTGGCATGTTCACTGCCGGTTAAATATAAGATGCTAGGAAGTGCATAATGAAATTTCATTGTAGTAAGTTCATCAGGGACACAAATGTAAATGAATCTTATCCAGGAAAACAATCTCATATACAGAAGTTGAAAATAGGAATAGAGGGTCAAATATAAAAACCTGCATCCAAATTTACTGTAGAATTATTATTGTAGAAATAGGTCATAGAAATATATTAAGAAAGGAAAATGGAAGATCTAATTGAAGAAAATAGGACTGCAAACACAGTGAAAAATACAGAGCAAAATATTTAATGCTCAATATCTGTCTTCCTAGTGCAAAAGCCTTAAAGATTCTCAACTCAATAATGGTTTAAGGCCAGTTTTGTATCTTTTAGCATATGAAAAATTTGCTAAATTAAGATTAAACCTCAAAAAGCAGCCAGGATCAAAGCTTTTATAGCTAAAGTTAAAGTGCATGTTCTAAATGCTTATAATTGCTAAATAGAAACTGATTTGGCATATTATATGCATCATAGCTTACAACAGAATTAATTAATTGGCAGTTGCATTTCTTCCTAGGTAGCCTATGGCACTTTTTTGATTAATTTTTAAACAAATCTATCCCTGATTTCCTATTTCCTAAGCCTACTTTTTTTCTCTGGCCTACATTGGACACACTGAAGAATTAAGTGCATCCTTGCTATATTATTTCATATTTTATAGGAAAATTCTGCAGTGCTTGGATCCTACCGAAAAGCGTTAGACAGGGGCAGAAGAGCAAACAGATCTTAGCAAATGAGTGAGCTGGAGGCCCAGCGAGCTCCTGCCGTGACTCTGCTCCTTCTCCCCAAGTCATGGCAAAGAGCGCGCTGGCTGGCAGCCCGAGCCAGGGCCCTGCTCACGTGGAGAAGGGTTCAAGGGCTGAACCAGGGAACCAGGTCATTCCTTGACTGTAAATTCTCAGGCAACAGCCAGTTTGTTTGAAATGCTTCCAGCTTGGGGCTTACTGTGCTGTCCTCACAATATATTCCCATTAAAATACTGAGAGATCTGTCACTAAGTTTAGCAAAGAAACATCGCTTTATGATAAACAGTACATGTTTCACACTGGCAAATTTGCCTTTTTCCCTCACTCAGCTGCATTTTATAGCTCTGATTTGGAACACCTCCTTCAGCACTCTGAAAATAATAACCTACAGAAACTTGCACTCCTCCAAAGTTGTGTTGCTCTTCTGAAACCTCAGTGGCATAGACTACTGGGAACATAGTGAACATGTGAACAGTAGGAACATACGGAGGTTTTTTCACACGTGAACAATTTAACAATACCATTTTTCTGATAAAATGAACTTAAAATACCTTCCAGTGTCTTTATAACTGTTTAAATTAAAACAGACTCCCCCCAGATTGCATCTCAATGAGAAATATTTTAAAGAACTTCTAATAAAAATTCCACTTACCCACTCTCACGGTGCCTTTACCTCTTTAACTAATCTTATGTTTCCAGACTTAACAATAACTTCATTTTCACTATTTGAAGCTTTTTATTTGTTTGTTTACTTTTTGGAGGGGGAGGAGATCAAGCCTTTATTTGGATTTGGCTGTGTCTTGTGATTGAAATATATATTCATGTAGAGGGATTCTTATTCTTAGACTATCAGTTTTTGGAAGTGATGATCACTTTGCAAGGGTATGAAATCAAGACTTATGAGGAGGGAAATTAGCCTTTTTAAGCAATTGAGAGCTTCGTATTCTCTAGATACCTAATTTTATTGCATAATATCTGCTTTAATTATTTTTTTGTAGGTTGGGGAAAGGCCCGTGAAAGATGAATTTTGTCCTCCACCATATGCTCACTATGAGGTGCCACCGAGTTTTTATCGATCTGCCATGATACTTAAGCCACAGTTAGGACTGGGTGCAGTTTCAAGGTTACCATCTGCAAAGAGCAGGATTCTTATTGCAAGTCAAAGATCCTCAGGTAGCTGTCTCCATCAGCCAGGAGAAATGACAAGCGCACCCAGCCTCTATCATCCTGATGCTTCAGGTAAAGTATGATCTTTTTTTCCCTTTCTTTTAACTATAGTCACCAATAAGATTTTTTTCAGGCAGAACTATCACAAAATGAGCATTATCTTGACCTGATACTACAAAGCTCTAATAGCACTCTTCTAGGTGCATTTTTTTTAACCTGAGGCAAGGCTAACTAGGGAGTCTGGGACTTGCACAAAAGTTGGTTTAACAGGTCATGCCAAAGGAGGAGGATCAATTTCAGTGATAATTCTCGTAGAGCTCTTTTTCATCTTCCTCCTCCTTGTAAATGCCTGAAAATTCTTTGGTTTTGCCCTACAGAAGATAATGGAACACTTTCTTCTATCATGAAGATCCAGTTTTTCAATCTGAATATGCTGATCCCCCATGCTCTTCTCTGAAGCCTTGGCCATGTTTGGCAGTGCTAGCGGAGAGCTTGGTCTCTGAAGCCTTGATGAATACCTCTTTGGAGGCATCTTCTGCAATTCCTCTTGCTTCCCAGTCACGATGCAGGGCACAGCATGACCCTGGGCAGAACTACAGAGGAGGGAAGAGCAAGAGAAAAACCAGAAGGAGAAGAGTTCGACACCATGGGACAGAGATAATTACTTCTACAGGGCACTCCTTCACAATCTGGAAAATCTTGGAGGTTTTAACAATGTACATTTAAGCGGCATCAAGTTTACAGAAAATCAGTCGTTATCAGAGTGAAACACAGCAACTGTTTAACAGCCTGCAAGTCTGCACAGATAGTTAGAAAACAGCATAAAGAGTAATGCCTTGGTGTCATATGGTCCATCTTCTTGCCCTGGGACAGGATTTCTTCTGATAGACATTTATCTATTCATAAAACCCTCCAATATGTGACATCCTGCACCCTTTGAAAGCAGGCTCCTCCAATGCATCATCTACCTGTCTGTAATATTTTACCTGATCTCCTTTGTTGCAGTTTACTTCCTCTCTTGCCTGGAGTGGATGTGGGGTCCTCTGCTCCTTGCAGCTGCCTTTTACATTTTTGAAAGTAAGCAGTGTCTCTGTCCATATCATCCATTTCTCTGCACTAAACTGCACAAGAAATTAAGAGGCAGAATGAAAATTGGCCAAGAAAAGTATCTTGACTTATTCTGAGAAGAGAGTATGAGTCTGTAATATAAGTTGTCAGGGTTTATGGTTTATCAGAAAAATCAAGGTTTCCTGTAACCCAGTGCCCCTTTGCCAGTATCACCTATGTCTGCACCTGGAGTTTATCTACGTTGATGCCGTTTGCAGAAGCTGAGCAAGCTCAACTCTATGTAATTTCTGAGATTACATGCTGGAGCAGTAAAACTCAGTTCAGCGCTGTGAGCAGAGTTCAGTCAGCGTTCCTCACATGGAGAGAGGCACAGAGAGCAATCGGATCCCATGTCCTACTTAAGTGAAGCTGCAAGATCAGAGTATGACTAGAATAAGCCATTGCACAACAGGAGCAAGTCTGGGAGATAGGTGTGAGAGGAATATACAGCTTTTATTAACAAATCCAGTGTCTTGTCTGATCTTCAGAAGTGAATGTTGCCTTGATTTTCAGTTATTCAACTTAATTATCCTGAATCACTGATTATTTGCAGACATTACTTTTCCCTGGGCATTTCTTTATCCATATGGGAACTTGCCTTCTATATACTAATTTACTATCTTCCAGTATTAAGTGGCATTTTAAAGTCCAAACAGTATCTGCCTCAATCCTGTTTGTTTTCTGTAATACTGCCTTTAAAAATTCCAGTGAATGAGATGTACACATGAAAAAATTGTACGAGCTCTTACCAATCAATTCCTGTTTCTCTAAAGTTTTCTTTTTTTTTAATCTTATTACTGATAGTTTCTTGAATCTTTCCTGCTCTGAGGTCAAATTTAATTCTTAGTTTTCCATGACTTCCTTCCTGTGAATGCTATTTCATTAATTTCTCTCAAGTCTATTAATACCTTGCTGTTTCAAAGATGCTATTAAAGATTACTCAAGTTAGTGTGATAATCTGTCTGCCATCTAATTCAGGTATCCAAAGTGTGTCCCATCTGGCCTTTGAGCTCTTACTGTTTTTATTGATTTTATATTACCCAGGAGTTGTTCTGGAGAAGTTGCTAATGTCTTCAGTTTTTCACTGTCCTCCCCAGGACACATTGTTTTCACTTCTGGCATCTCGTCTTCATTTTTCTTGTGAGGTGAAGAACTTGTTTAATTTTTCTGCAATGTCTTATTCTGTTGCAGAATACTTACCATGGCACTCTGGTGATCTGCTGGCTCCCCTTATTGATCTTTCATGCATTTCTGATAACTTCTATCAGTTCCTTTACATTCTTTTATTTTCAGCATTTAATTTCCTATTTGTCCATTCAGGATTGCTTTATAATCACATCTTCCTTGTTCATAGTTTGTTTCCTTGTATACCTCAAATGACACTTCTTTCCCTCAACACCATATGGCTTCACAGTCCAGCATATCAGTCTTTTCATCTTCAATAATTTCTTTCAAAAGGATGAATTGCTCATAAAAGAGGCCCACACCAGAGCTCACATGATGCTAACTCAGAGCAGAGCCAGGTGTGACCTGACAGGGTGGCTGGTCAGGGCCTGCAGCTCAGGGCTGCTTTTGCAAGGAAATGTTTTAATAGGTATTGAATTCACTAAATTCACTAAAAATATAGTCTTTGGGCAGAGTAAGAAAAATAGACCCAATGCAACTCATTCCATATCATCAAGAGAACAGAGACACACAGCAGTGTTAATGTATCAGATCAGCAAGGTGCGCCAGTATCTAAGACGGGTCATATGGACCATATCAAGCCAATTGTTTTAAGGTCATCAGCACCTTTGTTCAGCTTTCTGTCATCCTATTTCCCTTAGTTTGGCAGCTTGATGTGGTATTAAACTACTTTAATCTGCATTAATATTTTTGATGCAATATTTGAAGAACAGGATCAAATACGGCTTAGAGTCTTATTTACAAACATAAGTGAAATGCATGAAGAAATGGCCAGCCTAAAGGAACTGGTGCTGGTAGGAGCTTTGCTCGTGGCTGTTCGAGGTGTGGGGGCTTGGCTGGCTACAGCAAGAGCAGGCGGAACTGCTAATCAGCATCTTTTGCAGCTGGATCCTGAGCTTTTAATCCAGCAAACCTGTTAGGGATTTCAGTCCTGCCCTGAGGTAATGGAAACAGAAGGAGCTAGGCAGTTGCCAGCTAGTGACGGAGTGTGAGATACCGCTGAGGCTTGAAAAATGAAATAGCTGTGCCACAATATTGAGGACAGAACCAGTGCCTCATAAGGAGGATTTTATTCCCCTCTGCCATGCCTTTCATAATGTAGCAGGCTGCTTAAGCAGCACTGATAAGCTGAGTGGCCCTTGTATGATACTAATTCTCATAAAACTGACTCTAAAGTAATTGATAATTAAATCCATGAACTGCTGTGATGGACTGCAGGCACCAGAAGTACATTAAGGGTTTTGTTAGTTTTAAGATATGACAAGTAGAAAATAAAATGGTAATGAATGATCCTGTGACTCACCAAGTGTGATATCTAAAATGTGACTGGAGCAGTGATCATTCTTCATCTGTAGGACATTCGACACATGTATTGCCATGGGCTGTGATTTCCTTTTGAATGGCACTGTTCTTTACATGATGCTTTTGTATTGGATGGGTGAGGCATCCTGCTATAAGAAAAAAAACTCTGCACTGTAAAAAACATAGTAAGTCATTGAATTGTGATGTATTTAAAGAGACATCAGTATCTATAAAAGCTTAAAATTTGTTTATTTTATATAAATTGACTCTGCTCTTTCTAAAGGAAACATGTAATTCAAAACAAGCATTAAAGGATGCTGTGTCTATAACATATAAATTATGAATATACTTTCCCTGGTTCTTAGAGCACACATGTTAATATTTATGTTAATTAGCTGATTTTTTTATGGAATTAATGTCTGATTTTGAGAAGTAAAACAGAGATCTCATCTTTAAAACTTCACTTAATTCTACTCTTTTTTCACTCGAATTTATGGTAACTTTTTCTCAGAGGATGAGTTAATGAAATGTTGTTTCCTTATCAGCTCTCTGTGTATTAAATTTACCAGTCCTGAGGTCTAGCAGCCCCTCTTATTTCTAAACGAGTCAAATCCTGTTAAAGGTACCATTTATATATAAATCAGGACAGCAATGGTTTTGGTTTACTCAAACACACACAAGCATATACATATATTTGTGTATTTGTAGCTCATCGTTAATGTTACAATATGTCTACAGGTTTCTCCTGGTAGGATTTCAGCTTTGCTTTCATGTTGATTCTCAGGAATACCTAATACTTAAACAAGCAAATGAGATTTGATGATAGAAAAGGGGTTTTGGGGTTACTTCCTGAAACGTTTCATTACTGCTACTCCAGCTGCACGCTTATGTCCTAGGTTTGCAGTCTGACACACTTGGATTTGAGCTGTCAAACTTCTTGATTTGTTAAGAAAAGAGAGGACAAGGCCAGAATTCAGAGAGGAAAATATTCTCTATCCCCCACTAATCTGTAATGGTTTCAGTTGGCACTGTCTGCTTTCTTGTGGAGAGCAATCTGATTGTAATTTATAAAGAAAATTAAAATGCCTCAATGAGAGACAGGCATCTCTTCAGCAGAGTTTTGCTAACAGCATTATCACCATACCTGAGACCTAGCCGTATGCCACCTCTCTGCTCCCAGCAATTATTGCCTTTTTAAAGAACCAAAATGCATCTTATCAGAAAGGCTGTCTATATGACTGTGTTGTTCTATATCACATTATAACTCAGTTATAACTCAGTTGAAGGTTATAAGAATGGTATCAGTAACGATCTGTATACAGCAGAAAACAAATGTTGAAGTAATGTCTAAATACTGTGTGCTTATAGATTATATCTGTGCTACTCAACTGTAGAAGACTGGATTCATTTCCATGGTGTGCTGGGAGATAGGAAGAAAGGATTTAATATAATTCCATAGTTGCTGTGTGGGTGAAATG